TTGGGGGAGGTGAACATTTGCAAAAACTTTTAAAACAGACATTTTAAATGTAAATGATCAAATACCAGTTTTTATTTAAAAAAAACATTTTATAAGTGCCTACCAGAAATATACTGGAATTCCTTTTTTAACTGATTTTACAAGTTAAAGATATTATAATATCTTTATTATTTTTCCATTTGGGATTTAAGCCACATTTTATATAGAAAAGTTTTTATGTTATCTTTCTATAATAAAAATGAAATTTCTGAATATGTTTATGCTCATATCACTCTCTACTGTCATTTTCATGGAGACCAATCTCCCCCACTGATTATCTCCAGGGCTGTACCAATGCTAAAACAAGAATTCAATCTGAGGATTCTGGGTTTTCTAGTTGAGCCAAAGGACCAAGTGTGACTCGGTCACACTTTATAATGTAAAGTAGACTATTCACTAGAATTTTGGAGAACAGTTCAAATTCTACCACCTGTCTAGAATGTATAACAAGTACATTTTTATAAATCATCATGAAACCACTTGAATTGGATTTAACAGGGTTATTCAATCCACCACTTTTTATTTGGAATCATAAGAGAAGATTTTGCAAAGAAGGCCCTCTCAAGGCACTTCTCTCTTAGGACACTTATGCATTTACAGGGGTTAATTTCTTGGCCCTGAAGCACTGAAAGATATAGGTATATGGTGCTCTTTTTCTAGGATAGGAAGTTTGTTTTCCTGAAGGATCAAAAAAGTACATATACAAAATCTTTTCAATACATTATCTGTTACTCTTTCAAAGACTACATCTAAATGAAAAGGGGTTTCTATTGTTTCAAACACTAATGTAATTCATGTAGCACTACCTTAGACACAACAATTTTGTGAAAAATAGCTTCACATTCCCCATATTAAAGAAAAACAAGGGCGCCTGGGTGGCTCAGTTGGTTAAGCGACTGCCTTCGGCTCAGGTCATGATCCTGGAGTCCCTGGATCAAGTCCCGCATCGGGCTCCCTGCCCGGCGGGGAGCCTGCTTCTCCCTCTGACCCTCCCCCCTCTCATGTGCTCTCTCTCTCTCATTCTCTCTGTCTCAAATAAATAAATAAAATCTTAAAAAAAAAAGAAAAACAAAACAGAAAGTATAATGTGTTGAGCTTAAAGATCACCTGTTACAAGTTAAATTTGTTTACAGACACCATATATTCTAAATGGTATGTTTTCGCTCAGACAAAATTTAAGGAAAACTTTCCTTAAGGAAGCACCTAAGAGAAATCCACCAACATCTCAACCAATTTGCTCCTTCTAATTATATATGCTGAAAAAATGTTCATAAAGGGGAGCAGTGGATCAGCAATACAATTTCCAATACTTATTACATAAATTTTACATTGTAACATATAGAATATGACCACAAAAAGAACAGAAGTGAAAACAAAACATCATTAAATGTATTTTCTTTTACAGTGGTAAAGCAAATTAATCCTAAAGCACTTTAAAATACTGGGTTTCAGGCTTTTTCAAGATGGTCCTCATAAGAATGCTTATCAAACTTCAAACTGTAGTCCCACAAACTTTCCAATCTTGTTTTAATGTTAGAGTCAATACTTTTTTAAAAATCCTCTATAAATGGAACTGCCATATTCATAGATCAATATAATTTTGATAAGCATTACAAACTTTAAAACTCCAAATTTTTTCTCAGTTATAAATTTAACTCCCTATATTTTAAAAGTTGGATGAATACTTCCAGATAATGGATCCATTGAATGAAAAGAGTTATAATCATATCTCAGGTATTTTGCATATTGATATCTGTATCAATGCCTAAAATTAAAATATGGCTAATTTTAAAATTTTAAAACTTTAATTTTAAAAACTTTTAAAAACTTAAAAACTTTTAAAAACTTTTAGTTTGAATGCATTTTAATAGAACATTTCTGAAATGATATTTAAAAAATGGAATTTGGGCATAGGATGTTTTCCCAATATTTTGGAGCTATTTTCCCAATATCACAACTGTTCTATCTCTGACATTTTGTCTTTAATTTAGCTCCAATATCTCTCATTTAAAACAACTAGTTAGGGGCACCTGGGTGGCTCAGTTGGTTAAGCATTTGCCTTTGGCTCAGGTCATTATCCCAGGATCCTGAGACTGAGCCCTGCACCAGGCTCTCTGCTTGGTGGAGAGCCTGCTTCTTCCTCTCCCTCTGCCCCTCCCCCCGCTCCTGCACCTCTCTCTCACACTCGCTCACTCTCTCTCAAATAAATAAAATCTTTAAAAAATTAAACAACTAGTTAACTGTCTTCAACTTTCTTTGACAAATGACATCAGTCACTATCAGAAGAATATCTCTGAATTTATAAGTTACAAATACTCTAGAACTTTGATAATAATGTGAAGACATTTGTGAAATGCAAGAATATATTGGTTTAAAAAAATATGTACCTATAACTGACACCAACTGCGTCCCACTGATATGAATTCTAGAACTGTAAAAAAAGATTCTTTTTTGGTTTTGGTTAGGTTTCTGAGAAGAAAATAAAACAATTCCCAAACTAAGACCCAGTCTTAAATTTGTATAAAATAGGAAAAGACAACATCATTTCTCTCTTGTAATGAGATGACATATGCTCTAGAGTTGAATTTAACTAACATCTATTAACACATTTAGGCCAAGAAGCTAGCACTCATTTTTTATAGGAAAACTTTTCCATTTATTACCCCTAATGAACAGAATGAGATAATACTGTCTTAAGACAACTAGCCTCATCTTGGAGAGATACTCAAATGGTAAAGATAAATATCTTTCTGTTTGGTTGGAAGCAAAGGACAGCCTAGCTTAGTGGTGGTATCTACGGAAAGAAAACCATAATAGATAAAGCGAAAGCTATAGCTATAGCTTTCTCTTTAGTGATACCATTTCCATTCAACATGTTTGGATTCTAGGCCAATTCTGAGTTTTTCTACTATAATGAAAACACATACTTGAAATGTTAGGAGGAAGCTGGTAGCTTTCAGGCCATTCTTCCAGCAGGACTTAAAGCTTTATGAGAACACCATAGATAATTTGCTTTTTAGGTAAAAAGGTGTTCAAATTCTCAATAGGACCAAAGGAACCTAAGGGAGCACATGAGGGATGTTTCCAAACAGCTTCAGAATTTGGCCATTCAGCATAAAATGCTATGGAAATGCTGAACTTTTACCCGTTATTCATAATTACTATAGTCCTTTTATTCCTAAATACTTTTCTTATATCTTTTGTAATTGTTTTTTGTACTGTTAATATAGCATATACTCCTTTAGTTTTATATGCAAGCACTCCCACTAACTGAAAACTAAAGATTGTATTTTACTGCAGAAAGATCAATTATTTTTTAGCCAATATTTTCATTATGTTAATAGATTACTGAACTTTCTCTTTAATATAGTATTTATAAATTCTTTATTTGTCCCAAGCAAGGAGGTGGATACATATAATGTTTAAAAGCTTCAGAGCTGTATGCTTGATAAATATGTGCATGTGTATATATACACATAAAATATTTTAAATATAATTCTTTAAAAATACACTGATGGCCAGTGATGTGGTGGTATAAAACATCTCAGAAATATTGGTTATTTGAAAATGTTATATTTTATGTACTTCTTGTGTCCAGTACTGTAATATAGAGAAGAGAGATTAAGCACAGTTTATAAGGGACAAATTCTCAGAATACGCCTTTTGGATCATGCTGTGATGAAAAAAGTTGTGATGGTCAATGGAAACTGAGATGGAAACAAAACATCAGAAGCGAGTTAAAATGACGATGTTTTCTGATGGTCTTATCTATATCCATTCAGGACAGTTCCCCTTCTGTCATCTCAGTTAATATTGGTCATGAATTATTTTCTTCATTATGGGAAGAAAATATTGTTTTAATTCCACTGGTAGATTTGCTAGTAGCATATTTGATGTAGTGAGTAAATATTCAGATACCTGATGAGCATAAGCAATTGTTGGATAAGTTATAGTATTATGCAAAAACTCACATGAGGAGGCACTTGAGTGGCATGTTAGAAATTGATGTTTGGTAAGAGCAAAATGAAAAAAAAAATACTCCATTTAGCAATAATGAAAATATTTTCACTTACTAACACTGAATGTCTCCAGATATAATTAAGATGTTAGACAGAATAGGTCATGAAAATGGTAAATACCATTTTTTTTTCGCTATTTGCCTTTTAGAGTGACAGATGATAGAAAATTTTCACATTCAGAGTTGGTCATTTTCATTCTTTTCAACTTATTTAGGGGGGAAAGTGAAGACACCTATAAAAGTGATTGCAGTATTGGTTTTACAGCTGAATGGTATTATTCTTCAGATCAACAAATTAACTAATTTATTTGATAGTTGACAAATTACTAATGTCCAGTGTTTTTCAGAACCAGTTTTTTTCAGTGTTCCTTCAAACCATAGTAGAATTTTTTGTCTAACCCAATTTAACTGGAAAACAAAATAAGTGCTTGTAAAGTCCAGAGTTTTAATCTCTTCTGAATCTCTTGTCTTTGAAATTAGGTATTTTTGTTAAGTATTGAAAATCCATTGATGGTCATATTCAGTAGAAAAAAAAATGAAGTGAATGAAACAAAGGAATAGATCAAATAAAAAAATGGTGGCACTTGTCTTTACTGTACCTTTGGATCTTACTATGAGTCTGTTCTTTTATATTTTAATCAAAGGTACAGGCGTCTGTAATGTATTTTTCAGAGCAAATTTGAAAGTCTTACTTAAGACTTGGTAAGATTTGAAAATCATTTTAAGTGGCCCACAGCATTTGAAAGTTATTATAGCTAATCAATAACACTTGAAAATCATTTAAAGTGGCCAGTTCATAGATGAAATTGTATATAATTGATGGAAAATAGTTGGTAACTACACAAAAATAAAAATAGATCTTAAATTTTATGGATTTTGGAAACTTGCTTTATGAAGTGTTTAATTAAAGCAAAGTTTCTATTGTATGTGTGTGTGTGTGTTTTTAAACCATACCATTTGGCACATGAAAGTGCAGTGGGTAGTATGGCTGAAAGAAAATAGGTGGTGGTCCAGATGTTACATAATAAGTAGGGTACCCTCCCTCAGTAGCAAAGTATGGAGCAGGCTGATAAAAGCAAGTTACATTATCTGTATTGGGTAGCATATTCTGTTCTCCAAGTACTTTTAAAGCCATAAGGGTGATCATATTGAGTGTCTGCCTCCTTTCGTGACCCATGAGGCAAACAGTGCTTTCATTCACAACTCCATGCAAGGTCATAAGGTAGTCATATTTGCTCTTTTCTTCACCGATGAAATGGTTATGGAGGTACGATTCAATCTTCTTTTGCTGTTCTACTACATCAGGAAAATCAATGAAGAATCTAGAACACATATAACGTTCCAGTGTCTTGATTTCTGCTTCACAAGCTGGCTTAAATTCACGAACCAGCAAGTTGCTGTACTTCAGAAGGCCACCACCTCTAATCTCTTCAGGTTTTCTAGTAGATATAAGCTTGTATTGCAAATGTGTCATTGCTTCTTGGAAGTCTCCATACATGCTTTCAGCTACCACAACAGGATAGGATTCTTTAGTTAGTTTAGCATTTTTGTCACTGTAGAATTCTAACATGGGATCCAAAACAATTTGAAAGGAATCAACACTAAATTCAAATTGTCGTCTGAGTGAATTCACAAATTTTAGCTCTACATTCTTTCCAGTATTGTTTGAAAGAGAAATGAGACTCCAACGATCGTGCTTATTGCAAATTTTGACCATCTTTTGCACATAAGCCTCTTTCATGATCTTTAGGGTGATCTTTTCCTTTTTTACACCTTTTGGTAAAAAGTCAAGTAGACAACCAAGAACTGCATCCTTAACAACCTGAAATTCCTGATCACTTGGTAGATCAATGCCAAAAATAACATCTAGATCCTTATAGCTGATTCCACTGTGGCTTGCAAGTATATAACTTGCTGTGGAACCATTCAATCGGGTATCTTTAACAATAATTCCTTGCTCTATCAATTGATCTTTCACAACTTGAATGATATCTTTTGGTTTTACCTCCAGTGTGGGGAAATTCCCCCTTCCGTGAATTGGAATTACTTCATTTAACACTTGATCCAGTGTTATAACTTGATCCCAGCTGAGATTGCTAAATCTGATTTCTGACATTGTATAGTCAGAAGATCAACTAGAAAGCAAGCAAAAGATTGAGAAGAAATGTTAGCATTGCAAAATCAGTGTTATACCTAAAGCATATGAAAAAGTTAAAAATAGACAACATAAACAAAATTAATGCTAGAAAGAAAATTGTCACTGTACCTAATTGTCTTTAAATTTATTTTTTAAAGCTTTTATTTAAATTCCAGTTAGTGTACAATGTAACATTAGTTTCAGGTGTACAATATAGTGATTCAACACTTTCATACAACAGCCAGTGCTTATCAGAGCAAGTGCACTCCTTAATCCCCATCATCTATTTTACCCATTCTCCCACCTACCTCCTGTCTGGTAACCATCAGTTTGTTCTCTATAGTTAAGTAAGTGAAATAAAAGCCACTATGATTAAGTCAGAATTGTTAGATCCATTGGTGCATGGAAACAAACATTCTCAGGGAATTGTTAGAGCTGTAATTATTTTTTATATAAAATGGTGACCTCAATGTTTCTTCATGTAATACTATAATGATTATATTTGGTATATTTTTTTCATGAAATTACCATAGTATATCATTGACATCAGTTGTCATGAATTTAAAGTGAGATCAAAGAGCATGTCTGTGTATGTTAGACCCAGCTGATTGAAGGCATAATGTTTAGAAGCAATATATAGCATCTTTAAGCCAAAAGCTTTAGGGCATTATATATATATATATATATATATATAAATAACACACATATGTATATATATGGTTTCATATATATTACTGATTAAATATTAAAGAATATTACTAATGTAGGGTATGAACTCCTTGAATTTGAGGATAAGGGTGACACTTAATTCATCACCTCTTCTATGTGTCCAGTAATCCTTTAAGAAATTTTGAAGAAAATAATAATTGGGAGAAAAACCATGAGAGACTCTTAACTATAGGAAATAAAATGAGGGCGGCTGGAGGGGAGGTAGGTGGGGGGATGGAGTAATTGGGTGATGGTCATTAAGGTGGGAAAGTGATGTGATGAACACTGGGTGTTATACAAAACTGATAAATTATTGAACACTACATCTGAAACTAATGATGTACTAAAAGTTGGCTAATTGAATTTTTTAAAAAAAGAAAGAAACGTTGGTTGAAGGAAATAATAATTGTCACTTTAAAGTGAAAAATAAATGAGACTACTCCATTTGTCTCCAAAATGAGAGCAAAGATATACAAAACCATAATAAGATTCCTGACCTTTAAGAAATGTTTTCTGCAAATGTGCATTATGATATGCTCAGAAAATTTTACAGTTTGGGGGTGTTAAGAAATTAAAGTTATAAATGCTATAAATACAATTGTTAAATATAATTCTATTATTATGTAATTAGGTACAATTACAGTTACTACATGGATCTTCAAATACTCTATTAAGCTGCCTAAGCAAATAAAACTAGGAAAATAGGGCGCCTGGGTGGCTCAGTTGGTTAAGCGATTGCCTTCGGCTCAGGTCATGATCCTGGAGTCCCAGGATCGATTCCTGCATTGGGCTCCCTGCTCGGCAGGGTGTCTGCTTCTCCCTCTGACCCTCCTCCCTCTCATGCTCTCTGTCTCTCATTCTCTCTCTCTCAAATAAATAAATAAAATCTTTAAAAAAATAAAAATAAAAATAATAAAACTACGAAAATAAATAAAATGCTAGTTATGGATGTAGCTTTGGGTTTAGGCTTTCTTTCTTGAATTCCAGAAATAAAAAAAATAAATGAAGTTTAATGCATATTTGTATAGACAGTATTCATATTTTGCCTATGTAAGGAGCTATTAGAATAGAATTTCAATATTTAGAATTTTGTCTTATATTATTTCCCTCATAGAACTAGAGCAAATATCATCATCTTATTTGACATCTATAGAATCAACTTTTTTTCTTTTCTCAATTTATTTGTTTGCTTGTTTATTTAATTCCAGTATAATTAACATACAGTGTTTTATTAGTTTCAGGTGTACAATATAGTGATTCAACTATTCCATACATTACTTGGTGCTCATCATAAGTGTACTCTTAATCCCCTTCACCTATTTCATCCATCCCCCCACCCACTTCCTCAGGTAACCACCAGTTTGTTCTCTATATTTTAGAGTCTGTTTTTTTGTTTGTCTCTTTTTTTCTTTATTTGTTTCTAAAATTTCACTTATGAGTGAAATCATATGGTAGTTGTCTTTCTTGGACTGACTTATTTTGAATTGACTTTGACAGTTCAAGCATTTTGCAAAAGGCCAATTAAGCAATGACAAATCTATGTCAGTGGGAAGATAAGACTAAACCTATTCTGCTTCTGTATATGAAATTTCCAAATATATTAATAAAAGAGTACTTATTTTTATTATGGGATGAAATGGCCCACATAAGGCATTCTTTGTTGCATTTTAAGCCACATTAATTACTAATGTTCAGAGAGTTTTATTAGCAATGTCAATATCCAAATCAATCCTTAAAGATGAATAGACTGAATTGACTACACACCAGGCTACTGGATTTTGGTTATTCATCCATCAAGTGAAATGGTCTGTATATTGACTTTAGGACATTTGAAAAAATAAAATGTTATATGAAGAACAAAGTATGCAGTAAGAACTGGCATGCCTATTTCCTAATTTCTCTTCCTGGAATTATCACTGAATTGTTTTAAGCTAACAAGGTTTGTTATCCTCAAATTCTCAATCTGGAAAAATAATAATTCATAACACTCGCTAGTTTCATGTAAAGGCCTAAGCAAGATCAATGATTTACCTAATATTTTAGAAATATCAAATGTAAACTATACAACTTTAATTGACGTAGAAAACATTCCCAAATTCCTTTTTAATATGTAAATTTCTTTTGCAAGTAACAATTTTTCCTTTCCTTATGGCAGATTTCCATTGTCAATATTAGTCAAAAGTTTAAAATTCAATGGTCCAACCCCATTCCTACAATCCCCCTGTAAACCTATACCTCTACCAATGATCTGAAAATAAAGATTGTTTACATTGGTATATTGACATTATTAAAATTACCACATTCTTTTCCATACAGAAGTTTCCAGGATATTTATGTGCAAATAAAACCCTCCAAAGACATTAGTAAGTTTACTGTCAAAATATAGGAGTCCTTGATCAAAAAGGTGTCCTTTAAATCAAGAAAGAGGAAGTCTTACTTTATATCTTAAATCCACTCATAGATATAAGAGGAGGAAGGGGAGGGTCAGAATTTTGTTTCCCAGACAGAATCATACTATGATCTTGCAAAGACAAGAAAGAGATTATCCAAACTTTAATTTCATTTTACACTAGAGAAGTGGTGTAGGGAAACTGATCATCATTGAACAACTATTTAGTTGCTGCTTGATCACCTATGTTAATGATACCCCAAATTTCTGGTTTTCAGAATTATCTAGAGAGCTTAAAAATATACATATATGATATTTTAGGCCTGGTATTTCTTGTTAAAAAAGAAACAGTGACACCAACTTGCTAAAATGTGGGAAAACTGTGTCCTTGGTTGAGCAATATATTACTTAAATATCAAAATCACAGTTTTAATAACCAGTTATTTTTTCACCCTTCTGTATTCACTGCTACATAAACTTATTTTTTAAATCAAGACTATTTTGGGGGCACCTGGCTGGCTTAGTCAGTAGAGCACCTCTGCTCTCAGAGCTGTGAGTTCAAGACCCATATTGGGCTTTGAGCCTACTTAAATTAAAAAAAATTAAATCAAGCCTATTTTTCTTTTGAATTAACATTATTACCAAATGAGGAATTTCAAGCTACATCTCACCAACCACCTCTACTGCTATATGTACATGAAATGCAAACTAGAATTTTTAAAAATAGTCTTAGAAAAAAGCATAATTATGAAAATAAATTTGTGATACACACAAATGCATATAGACATATATGAGCATGCAAAATATTATGAAATATATGTCACAATGGAATAAATATAAATGATTTATATTGATCTGGAATCTATATACACCTCTACCAATGCTCACCTCTATTAACATGGATAATTAAGATCTGAGAGCAATGTTATGTTTCTCTGGCACATCCTCTATTTTCACATAATGCACAATATCAATATAATGTTGTAATTACAGATTTCACATGTGACATGAAAATAATAAGACTTATCTTCATGTGTGGGTTATGGCTCAGCAGTTAGCTGTCATACTTCATATAGCAGAGTCAAATACTTATATATCAATAACAAAAACATTACAAAACTTGGAAAATTTCATTTGAATTGCTGAACCAAAGAGCATGGCTAAATATCAACTTCAGATGACTATCATATAAAAGGTGGGAAAACACCAACAAAACCATTCACATTGTTTATGTTTGTCTTGGGTACAGTACAGTTCTTAGTTACTCAAAGTGTGTTTATTGGACATGAAATATAAAGCTATATTTTCACAGACTAAAAGCTCAAATTCAAGGCAGAAATCCTTCAGTATTGTGTCACATAAACCCAAACAGAAGTACAAAATCTGAAATTCCTAACTATTCTTCTCCAAAAGTGGAAATCAACAGTAGTTCATTATTTTGCAGCATATAAATCTTATTCTGACTCTGACTTCTTCCAATTTACTCATCCTTAAAGCTATCACTTTTTCCATCTAGCTTAGCCAATACTAGTGTGCCCATCACGTATCCAACTACAGTAAACCCAAAAAGTGGTTTCCATTATTCAACTGGTTAAATTCACTGGAATGCAAGGCAAGATGAGAGAGTTGGCAAGACTTCACAAAGAACTGCAAATAGATACTTGTATAGTAAAGTATAATTGTTCTCCCTATCACCACCCTATGGTCCTTCTGACTGTAAGAAGAAAAGGAAAACTTAGTCACCGTTTTCATACTTGTATTAATACTAGAATAATATTTTCAACAAGAATGAAAAAAGGCTTAAGACTTACGTTGAGAAGACTACTTTAAGAATGCAATACAGTTGAGTTAATATGATGATTCAGTGTTTCCTTTAATGAAG